CTCTTAATCAAGATAAAACAAAGTTTTGATATTATAAGTATACTCTTGTTAATCTTTCATGGACATGAACTATAAGATGATACATAAACTAATAAAATTCATATCAAAAAAAGAGTGCCAAAATAAAAATAAGAAAGTACATATATTTGAAAGAAACTAAAATGGCTTATTGCCAAAAGACAAGGAAATTTGAGACTCTTGAAACTAGAGTAGAAGTAAAAAAGGAGTTAACAAGAGTGAAGAGGGCTTCACTCTTGTCTCTTTATATACTATCTAACTAAGAGCTATGTGGCGATGTTCTATAGGACCTCCATTATGTGTTGACTTTATATGATACATGCCTTGACTTATAAGGCAAGTTTTTTATGTATGGACTACATGGTTAGCTTGGTCTTCAAGCTAACAATATGTGTGGCACATGGCCAATTTGTTGACCACGTTTTTAAACCAAAAAGTCAATTAAAGACACCTGTATAGTCAAAATAATATGTATGAAGCTTTTAGAAAGCTTTCATAGAAGATATTATAGAATTAACTTATTTTTACCTATTTCTACTTATTTCTATCTATTTATACAAGTAATTATTGACTTATATGCATATATCTATGACAATAATTCACTCACTTTTAAACAAGACAAAAACAATTAATTAGCACTTTTATCAAATTATCAAGGATATGAATCTTAGAGAAATAAATCCTCAATAAACTTTTGTATCATTAGAAAGAATTAGAAAATCACTCAAAGGTGATATTATATTGAATTAGAATGGCTAATATTAAAAACAAGAAGTCTAGAAAGTTTTCAAAAAAGACTAAGGTTTAGAAAGGATTAATAAGAGTGAAAAATGCTTTACTCTTGTCTCTGTATATGCTCTTAACTAAGAGCTATATGGTGATATGTTATAAGACCTCCAAAACGTGTTGACTTTGCAAGACACGCATCTTAATTTGTAAGGTAATTTTTTTATATGTGCGCCATATAGTTAGCTTGTTTCACAAGCTATCAACATGTGATTTACTTGTTGACCAAGTTTCTAACCTACTAATCAATTACAAATACATATAAATTCAAAGTAATATCTATAAAACTTATAAGAAGCTTTTCTAAAAGATATTATGAAATAAATCTATTTTTATCTATTTTTACTTATTTCTACCTAATTATATAGATATTTACTATAATACATATGTATATCTATGACATTCATCTATAAAGACAAACTTGAATGGAGCAAAGAAGCTGAAGCATCTTTTGAAGCCTTAAAAATAACATTTATTTTTATATCAATCTTGTATCACGTCAATTTCTTGAAGGCATTTTTCATAGAAACAAACACATCTAACTTTGCTATAGGTATAGTTTTATCATAAATGGGAGCAAATGAGAAGCTCTATCAAGTAGCTTTCTATTCCAAGAAGTTTTTAGCAACCAAGAGTAAATATAAGATCTACAACAAAGAACTTTTTACAATTGTGGATTCATTTCAAGAATGGCATCATTGTTTAGAAGGAACCTCAAGTCCAATAGGTACATATAAAAATTATAAAAACCTCAAATATTTCATGTGAATACATATTTTGAATTGTCACCAAATTAGTTGGATCATGTTTTTATCAAGATTTGATTTTAAGATCACATATCAATCTTTAAAATAATAAGATTTATTAAATACTATTTTTAAATTTTCTTATCTTATACCAAAAAAAGAGATATAACTTTTTATTAATAAAAAATGATTCTTTTGAAGTTGGTGTATTTTCATTGTGAAGTAATGAAATCAACATTGATTGTTGATTCAACCTTTTTCAAGTAAATTCAATTGGGTATGTCTTTTAATCCTATTATTTATGATATTAAAAATTATTCTTTTAAATCTTATGATTCTTATAAATTTGAATTCAAAAATAATCTATTCTATTTTGAAGAACAATTATCTATTCTAGAAGGCAAAGCATGATTATGTGTCTTCAAAGCTTATTACAACTTTCTAGCAATGAGATATTTTGGATATTATAAGACTTTGGAGCTAATATCTAAAGATTTTTGGTTGTTTCAAATATAAAAGGTAATCAAAGACTTTATACAATCATGTGATAATTATTTAAGATCAAAAACTCTTCATCATTGATCTTATAGATTTCTCTAGCCATTACTTATTCTAAAACAACCATGGTCTTCTATTTATATGGATTTTATTATAGACCTTCAAATCTTAGATTTGTATGATTCTATATTTATAATAGTATTGTGATAGTAGATCATTTTATTAAGATAGCACATTTTATATCATGTACAAAATTTATCATAGGTGAAGAAACAATTAAGTTTTTTTTTTTACAATATTTATTGCAATCATGGATTGTTCAAAGATATTATATTAAATAAAGAAACTCAATTTGTATCAAGATTTTAAAGAATCATTTTTAAGATTCTAAAGATGGTCATATAACTATCCTTAACTTTTTATTTTCAAATCAATGGACAAATAAAGCTTATAAATCAAATTTTAGAGAAGTATTTAAGGTATACCATAAACTATCAATAAGATGATTGATTAACTATTTTGCCATTAGCAAAGTTTGCTTATACTAATATAATATATTTTTTATGCAACAATTTTTTTTTTGCTAAATATATTTATCATCTAAGATTTGATGCTTATGACTTCTCAAAAATTGATAATGTTGTAATGAAAGATTTAGAAAATTGTTTATTTGAGCTACATACTATAATGAAGGCCCAATTAAAAAAAACTCAAAAATGACAAAAGAACAATATAGATGCCTATTGTAAAGAGTAGCCTCAATTTTATGTTCGTAATAAGATATGATTATTTTATTACAATATCAAGACTACCATTCTTATGATAAGTTGGATTATTATAGGCTTTGACCATTTCTTATTTGTGAATAAGTCAATCCAGTTGCTTATCAATTATATCTATTGGAGTCTATGAAGATCCATCATGTATATTACATGTCTCTTTTTGAGCCATATAAGATAATGAATATCTCAAAAAAAAGACAAATACCACTCATTTCTAAAGAAGTGGATAATAATGAAGAATTTGAATTAGAAGAAGTCTTAGATTCAAGGCAACACCAAAATAGATTGGAATATCTTATTCATTGGTACAAATATGATATTAGTGAATGCACATGGGAGTTAACAAAGAATCTTACAAATGTAGCAAACAAAGTTGAGATTTTTTTTATTGATGCCATCCATCAAATCAAGATGAAGAATAACAATCTTTGCTATAAAAGAAATAAGATGTAGGAAAGTTATCTTCTATTCTTATTTGTAGTTTTTATGTATTTATGGTATTAAGGAGATGGAGAACCAATATTTAGTAGATTTAATTTAAGAGCTATCATTTGTTGATTTATTAGATGAAATATTGTAATTATTTCAACTTTCAAGAGGATGTAATCGAGATAAAGATTCTCTAGAACTACATGTTTTTTTTTCAAATAGATGGTAAGATATAATGTGTTTGATATCATGTCTTTGGAAGGTACTAATGATGTTTGGTAATTTTTATTAAAAGTAAGAAGAGTTCTTAGTAGTATCTCAAATATTTTATTTGAAGGGAATTATGAAGGCCTCAACAACAATCAAATAATAGGGTGGTCTTCCCACCTTCATATGGGACATTATCGATGAGTAAAAGAACCTATTAACTATCTTTAAAAAGAACAAAATTCATAGTATGTGGTAAAATATAACTTGCTACATGTTGAATTTTTTCAATGTATGATGACTACTTGTCATAGAACTCGTTGCTAAAAGGGAAGATACTATCATAGACATACATATTTACTCCAATAATTACCTATATGATTACATAGAAGTAGGTAAAAATATATTAATTTCATAATATCTTCTTAAAAAGCTTTTTAGTAGCTTCATAAATGTGGCTTTTACTTTACACATACTTATAGTTGATTAATAGGTTAGAAACTTGGTTAACAAGTTAGCCACATATCACACGTATTGGTAGCTTATGGAATAAGCTAACTATGTGATGTATACATATAAAACTTGCATTACAAGTTAAAACATATATCTTGCAAAGTCTACACATATTAGAAGTCTTATAGAACATTGTCATACAACTTTTAGTTAGATAGTATGTATAGAGGCAATAATGAAGCCTTCTTCACTCTTGTCAAAGCCTTTCTTGTTCTTATCTTTGGCAATAGTCATTTTAGTTTAATATTATACTAGCTTTGAGTGAATCTCTAGTCTTTTCAAGTGACATAAGGATGTATTGATCATTTAGTTCTTTGAGATTCATGCCCTCAACAATATGTACATATATTTTTTAAATTGTTGTGGTTCTTCAAAAATTTATGTTATATTAATTCCTTGATGAGTGATTATAAAACATAAACTTTAATATAAATATTTTATCTTTTAATCTTAATTAGTATTCCAATTATTATTTTTATTTTGAATTTGGTTATTTTTTATTATATTTTGTTTTAATTTAAGTTTATATATATATATATATATATATATATATATATATTATGAAACAACTTAGGTATAAGACAAAGAGGTAATAAAGCCTTCCAATTAGCCAAATATGAGAACAATAAAACACAAATAAATAAGAGAATGGATGGTAGTGCTAAATTTTTTTGTGCTAAATTGCATGAGTTTCTACTTTTTTTAAATAAGTCTTAATAATAAGTTTATTTTTTAATAGTATTATTTTTTACACTCAAATTGTATTGATACTCACATTCGTCAATTCTTTCTTTCTTTGTGAAATGTTTGTGTGAAGGAAATTGTATAATCATCATGATCTACAAGTAAAAATAACAAATTGAAAGCAACAAACAAACCTAAAAGTCTCATCTTCTTGAATATCTTCAATAAACACACATTTATGAGTAAATAGTCAACCCTTCTAAGCCCTAAAAGATCGGGTGAGATGGAGGCCCCCACATTCATTCACCACAAGCCTCCAAAACCCGTAACCCTAATTCTGGATTCTCGATTGTGGTTTTAGGGTTTGGAGTTTGGTGTTTCGGGACCCGAGCGATGGTGCGGTGGGGGGTGGCGATCGGGCCCAGGCAGGTGACGGCGAGCGCTTGCTCCGCAGCTACGTCGAGTGCCCGAAGGCAGCCAAAAATTAGCCCTGTCGGGGTTCTAAGTCCCTTGCAGCTTTATTGCTCCTGTCCTGGCTGCTCTTATTCTCTTTCGTCGCAGTCGTGTTGGTTGTCGACTTTCTTCATCTTGCCCTCAATTAAAACTAAAATGGAACCCTTGCTGTCAGTGATGGCAGGTTTCGTGGAAAAGGCCTAGCGAAGGTAAATGTGATGAGGTCTTTACAGAATTTGCTGGGGATGGTGGGGTTAGTGATCGGATTTAGTATGCTTTGCTTTTCGGAACTGCAGGTTGACGGGTAGGATGCAGGATATTTGGCGGGATACGAGATAAGGAATGATCGCGGGGCATAGGACAATCTATACCAGGAGAAATTGGAGAAAACGTGATTCATGAGAAATTATGAGTCGGATGGAGTGGTTGTCCACGGTGACCTTGCAGTTTTAACTCGAGAAAAAGTTGAAGATGGAAGCTGCATGGACATTAATTGTTGTCAACATAGCGCGATTGTTGTTTTTAAATGGCAACTTTTCCATAAATATGAAGTGGAATGTGCCTTTGGACTTCGAGGCCATTTTTCACAAGTGCTCTTGATAGAGGAACTGAAGAATTAAAGCCATGGGCAAGGTGTATTTTTAGAGCGCAATATGATTTCAGTGAATTGCCATCCTCTCTACTTTTTGCCCCAAAGCGCTTACGTGCTCCGCTTATTTTTCAAGTCCTTTTTATTTATTTACCCCCTCTCCTCATACTTTCCAGCTGGACTGGGGGGGGGGGGTGTGTGAATTTGCCAATCGAAGAATTTGGTGTTTTTTTGATGAAAAGTGGAAGGCCAAAGGGGACTTGAGGAGAATGTCGAACTTTGTGAGACATTCCGATGATCATGCGGTGGGTTGCAGCGTCCGTGGGTGAGGAACATTGGAATCGCTGTTTTTGCATCTGTGAATCTACGAGGCACTTTGGAGTCGGGGATGTTGTGTTGCTCGAATGAGATCATGAACAAGTTGCAAGAATCTGAGTTTTTGTGGAGGTTTCACAATCTTGCCGGAGGACTGGAAGGATGAGACAGATTCGGTAGCAATGGCAGACGATGGGAGATTTAGCTCAGTCTCTGTGGAGCGGAAGCCGGCGAGTGCTATGGCATGGGATCCCAAGCCCAGTGAGAGCCATTTTCAAATCTTCCTGGCTTTGTTCGTCTTCTTCATTTTGGGACCGCTGCCGTCTGCCTCCGCTGCTACTGCTTTGTCCGATGGTATGTGCCGGGTTCTTTCTCGAAATTCTCTTAGATAATGAATCGCATGAAAGTATTACACACAGATTGCTTGTGGATTCTTGTCACAAGAACGAAATTCTTGAGACTTAGAGGTTCTTTGCGTTTAGGTACGATTTTTTTCGACACCGATTCGCTTGGATTAGAACTGCGATGCAGTATTTGCCCTGCGACCTTCGATTTGGGAGACACTACAAATGAAAAGCTAAATGCAAATCATTGGGTGTTGCTTGACCGAGGGATGGCAAGTGCAATTTTTTTGTAAACGTGGTAATGTTCTCTTGCAGTAGACGTATTCTTGTGAAATTGTTGCAGTTCGTTGAGCAGAAACTTGTGGTTCTTTAGATTCTAGGGAAGTTGCTGCAATGCTGAGGGAGTGTATATGCAATTCTCTCGCTTCTAAGTTTCTCTGATAATTTCTTGTCTGCTTCTCGAAGCGTGTAAATGTGCACAATTCTGTTGTGAGTAACTTCAATGAATGTGGAGATCAACTGGGGATCACGAAGAGAGAGTTGGTGTTGGTTTGCAGTGGAGTCATGAAGCCTTAATGAGGATTCTTACTGGCTCGTCCTTTTGAGCCTTATTGTAGCAGCCGTGTCTACGTACCAGGTTCTTAATTCATTTTCGTACTTACTGTAGTTGATTATATGTATTGCAGTGACTGCTTTGCATGAGCTTCGGGAAGCTTGGAATGCGACTCTGGGATTAGCTCAGAACTGGACTTGGGGGTCTGACCCATGTTGGAATCACTGGGAGGGCGTCTCCTGTTTCGAAGAGACTGTTGTTTCATTGTAAGCTTGCTGGCATGCTTGCAGATCGAGTGAAGGAGCTCTTGTATTTTTCTGCTTAATGTTTGCGATAAGTGATTGCTACTTGCCTAGAAATCGGGAAGAGGTTATCTGTTGTCATCCTTTTTTTCTCGATCCAGGTTAAGTGTTGCTTGTGCTCAATTAAAAGGATCTATGATATTTGGATGCCTTTAAATCTTGTATGCTGAAGTTGCAGCCAATACATGCTCGTGCTGATATGGGGCTTTTGTATGTTTAAGGAGGTTGGATGTACGTGGACTCGTAGGAGCCTTTTCTCCATCGATTGGCAAACTTAAGAACTTACAGTATTTGTAAGTATTCTTCCATTTTCTGTTGGTGCTTGAACTCTTCAATGGTCCAAATTCCTCCTTCAGGCCATGTTCTATCTATGTTCTATAATAGTTGGAGAGAATACTTAAAGTGGTGCTTGAGGATTACACTGCCAAAGCGATTTGAATGACAGTCGACTCATGCATCGTTTGTCTAAATTTCATCACCATGATTTCATCTGTTTCTGACATGTATGACTCACCTTTGTAGAAATTTAGCAAACAATCCTGGTCTCACTGGACCAATTTCTGAGGAGATTGGACAACTCAGTCGATTATATGCTCTGTGAGTACACGCATCATCCTGGTTATAGTTTAGGGTTCAATTGGACGTTCAATGTCTTAGTGTGGAAGTATCTGTTCATGCTGTCTAGAGGAATACCTTTTGGGAATTGAGCTTGGGCGTATCTTTTGATTCCTTGAGTTTTCTTGTAACTTATAGGTTGATAGCTGGTTTATTGATGCTTTTCATGTGTTGCTCCAAAACTTTTTAACACCAGAAGTTCTATTTGTTGCGCAGCGACCTGAGTCATAACAATTTTGGAGGGCCTTTTCCAGAATTTCTGCTGAAACTTCCAGTGATCAAAAGATTGTAAGTAGTTTTTTCCCGCTTCTACCAATCCCTCTGTCAAGGTAACGATATGTGTTGATAGTATACTCTAAATGAATTGCTGCTCAAGCTCTTGACGTTGACGCTCAAGCGGTTGTTCTGTTTCAAGATTCTAACGTGCATTGCCTCATGGCCTTTCAGGAATCTTAGTTTCAACCAGTTGACCGGAGTTCTTGACGGCGGCGTGCGAACGTTTGGGCATGTTAACATCTTTCTGATCAAGAATAACATCTCTGCAGTGGTCAATTTACCAAGCCCCTTTATTAATCCAGAGTAGGTCCTTCACTGACCTAATCATCTGTATTTAATTTAGCATCAACACTGCTATTCTTCCAACATGTTTTAGCTTCTTTCGCGGTCAATTCTGCATGGTGATGGAGTAATTTATTTTTATTTATTTATTTATTTTTTTTTACAGTGGTATGATTCTGGTGGACTGCTCTTTTTTCAGGCTTAGGGGCAATCCCGTTTGTGAAGATCAATCCTCTCATTTTCCTGACATATGTAGTTACTCCGGTATCATCCCCAAAGAGATATTATGGCAACAGAAAATGTCGTGTTCCACCGTGTGCGACCAAAACTCCGTTGTCCATCCCGGCACTTGCGCTTGCTACTATCCCTACATTTGTAACATGTATTTTGGGTGGTCTCCATCATATGGGTTTGATGAGACAAGAATTGATAATTTGAGAAGAGCTCTGGCTTCTGGATTGAAGATATCGTTCGAAAATTTATGGATTGAGAATGCTACTTACTGGAACATTAGTGAGCGGCAGCTGCTGGCGAAGGTCATCTTCTATCCTGCATCACCATCACGACTGTGGGATAGGTCCCAGGTTAATGATATTAAGTCTAAACTAATTGGAAAAACCATTAGGCTCGAAGGATATGATCCATATGGGCTTATTGCATCTACCCTTCAAACAGCTCCATCAAACACAGGTAACAAAGGACACCATTCAGTTTGGTTTTCCAATTACAGCTTATTTGACTTTCAACATTTGTGCATATTGGTTTTTCTTAGTCAGGGGATTTTGCAGCAGCTACAAAATATAAATTCCGAACGTCAAATTGCGTCCGTTATTGCAGGGACCTTCGGAGGAGTCGTTGCTATTGTGGCACTATCAGGCGTTGTGTTATGCATTAACCTTAGAAGAAGGCCAAGACCTCCTAGAATAGATAATGCCTTAGGTAATGCACACATTTCGATGCCCTGTGGGCCTACATATGGTTTGCACCTTAATTGCAGTTATTTCGTATTGTCACTTTCTTTGACACCAGTTTGATTGGTATATACGTGATGATATTTTGTTGTTACTAGGGATATTTGACCTCGATCTCGAACATTATCCAAGCTGCCTGTTCTTGTACGATGAGCTGAGAGTTTCAACGAGGAATTTCAATAGAGGGAATAAAATTGGGGAAGGAACTTTTGGTGCAGTTTATAAGGTATGTTTATCATAATATTCCTTCAATTTTTCTTCGTCTTTAAGAAACTTTAAGAGTCTCGCAGAATGTTTTATCGATGCTTGGTAGTGTTCCCCCTTGACAGACTGATCTTTATTGACAGGGCACTATGGTAGACGGTAGTGAAGTAGCAGTAAAGGAGCTGCCACCAAATATCAAGCAGGGAAATCAAGAGTTTCTCAATGAAGTTCAACTAATTTCTGGCTTGCAACATAAAAATCTCGTAAAACTCCGTGGCTGTGCGATCAGTGGAAAAAACAGGCTTCTTGCCTTTGAATATGTAGAAAATAGATCTCTCCATCAAGCTTTATTTGATCCAGTGAAGGCGTTATTGTTGGAGTGGCCAATCAGATACAATATTGCTCTTGGGATGGCGAAGGGGCTCGCATGCCTCCATTCCCAAAGTCCAGAGCGCCTTGCTCATGGAGACATAAAAGCCAATAACATTTTGCTTGACAGACACCTGGAGCCCAAGATCGCAGACTTCGGTTTAGCGAGAATGTGCCAAAATAATGAACGGAGAGTGGTGGTACACATTGAGGGGAAGAGGTTAGCTATTGTTCTATATTTTGACTGCATTAGATGAGTTCTATGAGAAAGTCGTTATTACATACACTGATGTCTTCAAGCAAGGATTGCTGAGATGAAATTGTTGGCTTTCTTTTGGGAAATGAAGGGGTTACATAGCTCCAGAATACGCACTGCATGGTCAGCTGACACCGATGACCGACGTCTTCAGCTTTGGAATCGTAGCACTTGAGCTTGTATCTGGCCGGCAAAGGATGAATCCAGAGCTCCCTGCGGAGGAGCAGTACCTCCTTTCATATGTAAATCTAATTCGATTCTATTGAATTTTTGTTCCGACTTTGTGTTAGCATGACTTGGATCTTGACATGAAATCTAGAATTGACTTCATGTATTCTGTTGTGCAGGTCTGGAATTTGCATGAACAGAGACGTCTCATGGATCTGGTGGACCCCAAAATTAGAAACGAATGTGACGAGGAGCAAGCTCTGGTCCTAATCAAAGTGGCGCTTCTCTGCTCACAAGGGGAAGCTTCTTCTCGACCCGAGATGGCGCAAGTGGTCTCGTTGTTGTCTGGCGATGCAGGTGTTCCGGATGTTCTACACAGGCCTGTGTTTCTAGGACTTGGTGTGATTGACCCCAACAAGTTAAGACCTCGTCCAAGTTCCTTAACTACATGGAGGTGATCAAACTTGTGCACGTCATGCCTGAGACACTCGCTCGTGACTGCTGATCTATCCTGCAAGCCTTAATGTCTGTCATCCAATCTGTCATGACTCACTTGTCCATCGGCTCCGCTTCCCCACCAGTTTATGGAGTACCCACATGGCTGAGTCTCACGTCTTAATGCAGTTGATTTCAAATGAAAGGACTTGCCTTGGATACCCAAAGATGGGTCGCTGATCTGGTTACACTGTTGCTGAAATGTTGGAAACTTGAGAATCTCACAGGAAGTGGGCGCTTCAAAGTGTAAATCCTCCATGGCTTGAAGATATTCACTGTGATTGAAGCGATGAGGACCAGAATCAATTTTTAGAAGCTCCGTAGAATTCATGGGATCAGTCACATACTAGCGCTTGTATGCAGAACAGTTTTTGAGAGTATTGTTGTGGACGGTCTTCCTAGGAATTTTTGTAGGTACTTTAAATCAATTCACAATATACCCGTTTTAATTAAGTTACATCCTATGTTTTATAATGTCTTGCAATGATTTTGGGCCATTTTTTATCCTGCTTTTTAAGAAAATTATAATTTCAGACTATTAAAAAAATTAAATGCAAACCTACAGTTTAAAACACTAACAACAATATTATTGTGAACAAATGACTTGTTGTAACTTTTAATGACTTTTAATTGTTGCAATTGTTCATTATGAAGCAGACAAAGACATGGCACTTTGCTGGTTGTTTACACATTCACTAGGCAACAAAATGGTTTTAGATTTATTTATTATTATTATTACTATTAGTTTCCCTTTTTTGGTAACACGGAGTAAAACAAAAAAATAAAAGCATAATACTTTTCATTTTCATCCAAAACCATATCAATTAAACAATATATATGTCTTTTCTATATATATATATATATATATACAAATGATTTTTTGGTCCTACCCAAGCCTTTTTAATGTAGGATATTGTCTTATTTGTTCTATATTAAGCAATATAGGATGCAAATTTCTACTAATAAAGAATATGATAGATACTATTAGAAATTGATGCATTTAAGCTTGGTAAGTTAATATAGAACAAAGTAAAGTTTATTTCATCTCTTTGTATGCTTGGTTTTTGAAGCAAATTAATATAAGTCAAGCAGGACAATGTCCTACATTATGTGTAAGTTGATAATTTATTATTTACATGCAACAATAATTAGTTATTATTATCAAATATTACTTTATTATTTTATAAATTTTTATTTATTAAAAAAAGTTAAGTTATCTTAGAATATTATTTATACCTAATAATTAAGATATGATTTCTAAACATTGAAATTACTTGTTTGAAAGAACTCATTGCATCTTTTCTTATATTAAAACATATTTAATTTTTTAATAGCTTGAAACATGTAGCATGACTCAAGTAGATCATGTGTTTATGTTTAGTTTATAATTTTAAAAATTAACAATTAATGTTGATGAGGTTGATATTGCATACATCGACTAATTTTATTATAGATAACCATATGATATGAAATAGTTATAATATTTTTAAATTTTATATTTTACAAGCCAAATAATTATTTTTTTAATAAAATATAATAATTTAATTTATAATATTTATTATTCTTATATAGCAACTAGTATAACCATTAAAAAGGCAAGATTTAAAATAAATATTATAAAAAATAGTACAATAAAATTTTAAGATTATTATAAGATAATAAATACTTTGAATTTACAAAACAAGAAGTAGTTATATTACATAGAATTTAAGATACTACTTACCATTTTTTAAAGAAACTTTATAACTTCAAACTAAAGAGCTTAATTGTAAAATAAGTGAATACAACTTCAAAACATGTTTGCATAGCTAGTTGTTAGGGACATAGTCCTTAGACCTTTCTAGAAACAAGTTTCTAGAACCTTCTAGAAAGAAGTCTCTAGAAACTTCCAGAAGATTCTTTGAATATTCTCTTAGAATATTCTTTAAAGATTCTCTAAAGATTCTTTGAAGATTCCCTAAAGATTCCTTTAGAAGGCTCTAGAAGATTCTTAGAATATTCTAGTAGATTCTAGGAAGTTACTTGAGAAGCTTCCTAGCTCTTGGGTAATTGCTCGAGAAGCTTCATAGTTCTTGGGAAGCTTCTTGATGCGCTTCTTTAGAACCATAGGCCAGTAGTATATATAGGAGTTGAGGCTGAAGAGTTCTTCAGTCTCGACAACACATCTCTTGGAGCTCTAGCTCACCTCTCTAGTGTTATTCTTATATTCATCTGATTAATCTAGTTCTTGCTAGTTCTTCTTGAACTTCTTGTTAGATCTCGAGCCTATATTTCTGTGTCCGTGACAGTTTGTCGAGACTACACTAACTTGAGATATCAGAGCTAGTTCTTTCTTAGTAGAGTGTAGATTACCCCTCTACTTGAAGGTATACTAGCATTTTTTAGAGGTTGCGGATTATCCTCCTCTAAACTGATATTTTCTCAATCACAATATCAGAGCTTAGTTCTTTGAGGCATAGAGTGGACTACCCCTTTCTTTGGAGATACTTCAGCGTTCTAAGGGTTGTGGATTACCCTCTCTTGGACTGATATTAATTCCTTCTTTTTGTTTAGCATAGCTAGTAGAAAAGACTGTTAACATCGATTTCAGAGGTTTGCCTTCTTGATAGAGTGCAGATTACCCCTCTTCTCGAAAGCATTGAGGCATTTTTAGAGGTTGCGGATTACCCTCCTCTAAAATTGAAATCGTTTAGTGTTTTTTTTTCTTTTCTCCGAGTAGGTTTTAGTGACAGGTAGTGCTACAATTTTCTCCAAGAGACTTAGCAATTTCTTCTTCTCTCAAAATTTTAATCCATCTATTCTCTAAATATGGAAGTAGACCAAGTCATAGACAGTGCATCTCCACAAGTAGACAATAGAGTGGCAACTCTTACAGATCTTCAAGCTCTTATGAATAATGTACGAAAGGAGATTGCATTTCTTCGCAATCCAAGTAAAGAACCTCAAATTAATCTAGTGACCGAAGAAGCTAGACGCGAAATTCATAGCCTACAACAAGAGATTATTCGACTGAGAGAAGCAAGACATGTGTCACATACGACCCCTATAGATACTTCAAGGATTAGTACGAAAGAACCAAAAACGAGTATGCCAGACAAGTTTGATGGAACAAGAGCCAACTTCCGAGGTTTTGTGCAACAAGTACGGCTTTACCTACGCCTATATCCTTCTCGTTATCCGAATGGATTTACCTAGGTTGCTTTCATAGGTACTCTTCTATCAGGAAATGCTCGCTCTTGGTTTGCTCCACTATTGGAGAAGGATTCTCCAATATTGTACCACCTAGAGGCTTTCATAGAGAGACTTACTGCTGCGTTTGGAGATAGCGATCGAGAAAGAGTGGCTGAAAGAAAGATACAAAATCTGCGACAAAGATCACGTTCTGCTGCAATCTATGCTGCAGAATTTCAACAGCTTACATGTGATCTTGATTGGAATGATAAGGCGTTCATGACACGATTTCGATATGGACTGAGAGATGATATCAAGAACTTATTGATCACCATGCCTAAGGCGGATACTTTAGAAGAACTTATATCTCAGGCAATTATTTGTGACAACCGCCTCTTTGAATTACGACAAGAAAGACGATCAGGCTGGAGAAATGATGGAGCATTTGCTACATTTTCAAAAGGTCAAGAGAATCACTCCACAGATCCTGAACCCATGCAAATTGATGCGGTACGTTTCAAACCCCTCACAGCTGAGGAAAGGAAGCGACGGTTTGAACAAAACTTGTGTTTATATTGCGGAGAAGCGGGCCATAAAGCTGTAGATTGTCGGAAGAAACAGAAGCCTCAAACAACAAGACTCAGGAGTACAAGCATGCAGGAAAACAAGGACGCCCAGCCACAATAGGGACCGTGCGGCTGGACATCTCAACATCCAAAACTAATCAAGGTCCCTTTCTCTCAGCTCAACCTTCAGATTGTTTTATGGTACCTTTACATCTGGGTATTCAAGAACTACAAGTCGATGCTTTATTAGACTCGGGTGCATCCGCTTGCTTTATAGATGAAGAGTTTGCCAAGCTTCACAATATTTCTCTTGTAAAGAAACTTAAGCCTGTCCATGTAGAAGTCATAGACGGACGACCATTGTCTTCGGGCAATGTCATCCATGAAACTAAACCATTGAAGGTACGTCTTGAAAACCATGAGAGCAATATTGTGTTTAATGTTATCAAGACCCCTTCATGTCCTATCATTTTGGGACTATCTTGGCTTGATAGATATAATCCATTGATAGATTGGAAGTTGCGAAAAGTGACATTTCCAACAAACTCCTTGAAGGTGGAATCTGCCAAGACAATGTCTAGAAACAAATCCTTGTTTATAGGTGCAAGGGCTTTCATGAAGGAAGCCAAGCAAAATACACCTCTTGTCATCTTCGCAACTCCGACTCGAGAAGATGCAACTCCGACTTTGGTTATTCCAAAGCAGTATGAAGAATTCAAAGATGTCTTTGAAAAGAAGAATGCTGATATGCTGCCAGAGCATCGACCCTATGACTGTGCCATTGAATTGCAAGAAGGAGCACAACCACTTTTTGGACCAATCTACAATTTGTCGCAGATGGAGTTGACTGAATTGCGGAAGTACATTGACGAGAATTTAGCCAAGAACTTCATCCGTCATTCGAAGTCGCCAGCTGGGGCACCAATCTTATTTGTGAAGAAGAAAGATGGCTCACTACGGATGTGCGTGGACTATCGAGGTCTCAACAAGGTGACAAAAAAGAATCGCTACCCACTGCCTTTGATCTCTGGTCTTCTAGAACAACTTGGGCGTGCAAGGATCTTTACAAAGATTGACCTAAGGGGAGCTTACAACCTTGTGCGAATTAAGGAAGGAGATGAATGAAAGACAGCGTTCCGAACAAGGTATGGCCATTTTGAATACAATGTCATGCCATTTGGTCTTACTAATGCTCCAACGGTCTTTCAACACATGATGAATGACATCTTTCGAGAGCATCTAGATGATTTTGTTATCATCTATCTAGATGATATTTTGATATTTTCTAAGAACGAGGAAGAACATGAGAAGCACGTTCGTCTGGTACTCAAAAAACTACGGGAGCGAGGACTTTATGCCAAATTGGAGAAGTGCTTATTTCACCAAACTGAGATAGAGTTTTTGAGATTCATCGCGACTACGGAAGGATTGAAGATGGATCCAAAGAAGGTGGAAGCAATCATGTCTTGGGAAGTTCCGAAGACGGTTAGGGACGTACAATGTTTTCTTGGATTTGCTAACTACTATCGGATCTTCATCAAGAATTATTCTCAAGTTGCTGCCCCCCTCACTCGGTTAACGTGTAAAGACAAGCTCGAATAGGGACCTATCACAGAAAAAGCATTTCAAGATTTGAAGATGGTATTTACTACAGCTCCAATCTTGGTACATCCGGACTTTACAAAGGCCTTTTATTTGGAGACAGATGCTTCGGATTTTGCTTTGGGAGCTGTACTT